AAGTTGTTATTTCAAAACAGGCAAATCAATATTTCCAATAAATGATTATATTTGTAAATACCGTTTGTGTTTGAATAGTATCTTCAAAACTTCCAAACAATTTTTTCCTATTCGTAAATAATACTTATTCGCTGAAGTTAGATTGAGCGACCAATTTGTGGCTACAGAAGAGTTTCTTAATAAGTTTCCCTTATTTCACAATTTAAATGGTCATTTTAGTGCCAGCCAGTTTTTGAAATAAAGATTTTTTTAAAGTCTAAGTAGACTGCTGAATGATGAAATGGTTATTTCTTTAGAATACAGTACGAGTCTCTTTGCTGAATCTAGATTATGTCCATTTGAGTCTTGTTACGATTGATGCCTTTGATATTTATGTACAAAAGTAGCAGTAGTGATTGTTTCTTAGTTCCCTCCAAATTGTCGGTACTCCAAACTTTAGATACTTCCTCTTTTTAATTGTTCGCTGTCGCAAATGTCCAAGACATATTTTGAATATGAAATGTGGAGACTAACAGCCGTATGCATAGTCGATCGCCAGCGACTCGCCAGAGATTCATTTCGGCGCATCGCCAGCGATCCGCCGGCGAAAGCCCAAAAAGGTGGCGACTCGCTGGAGATTGTCACCGGCATGTCATTTCACGCAAGTTTTCAAGTTTTTTTATCGGGAAAAATTTGATATTCGTTCATTGTTTTTTGAGTTTTAAGAAATGAATCAATAATAAAATGCGAGAGATGCCAGTAATAATCCCTATAAAAGAACATGAAAACTTGCAAGAAATGACAATCGCCAGCGGGTCGCCACCTTTTCGGGCTTTCGCCAGCGAATCGCTGGCGATACGCTGGAATGAATCTCCGGCGAATCGCTGGCGATGGACTATGCATACGGGTGTTAGATTTATCCTGGTCTCCTAAGTAGACATCAAAAAGGGGAACAAAGTCACAAATAGATGTTCTACTTGATTCATACAGATATGTTTCTGTGGATACTACTTATTGCAATTAGGGCAAACCAACCTGAAAAGGAAAATAATTCCTATCAGGAGAATTAAATCTTATGTCAATATCTTTATTTTTGACTTTTACGAGAACTAAAATCAGTTTACTTCTTGAAACGAAAAAATGTCAGTTTTTTTGGAAAAACCAGCACCATTCAATTTCGGATTGGGACCTACAGGGACTACCGTTTCAGGGCCAACCTATCAATTACTTTTTATTTGGTAAATTTAAAAATTTTTTTTTTAAGTTTACTTTGAAAATACTCAAAACCAATTTTCCTGTTCATTTATCTTATTCTTATATATGTTCGTGTCCTGTTCATGAATGACATTACTTCAAAAGGACCGTTGTATTGGGACAGGAAACTACTGTTTTATCTGCTAAAATTTTTAAATACCGATTTATTTTCTTTGCTTAATGAGGCCCGTGCACCTGGTGGAATTTAGTTTCCTTTTCTTGCGTTCATGTTTAAGAGGTTTCTCACAACTACTTTCCTTAAAATGGATAGGGCAATTTCAATTAAGTTTGTCCTTTCTTCGATAATAATTTACCCATATTTTGTGGCATTCGGAAATATCTCCACTGCGCAGCCCGGCATTTTAAACATTAATTTAGTTCTTCCCTGTTATATATAGGAACTACTAACACAAAAACATATAAATTATTAAATTATTTTACACTACTCAATCGAAAAGTGTCAAAATAACTTGAAAGTTCGTCCCGCATTACGTCATGCGTGGTTTGGACGAATTTTGAATCGAAAGTCAGCATACCTTTAGTAAGTGTATCCTGACATTATCGGTATCTGACAAAACAATGAATTATTTTTTGTTAAACATTGTTAAACAGGTTATGATCTTTCCATCTATAATATTCTGACACTTCTGTTATTTCCGCTTTATTTTTAATGAGATGTCACTTCTATTATTCCTGATACCGATGAAACATGAAATGTTGCTTATTTGGAATATATACCTTTACACAACGCTCATGACGTCAGAGACCGTGTTTCAGTGGGTATAATTTAAAATAAAGAATTTGAAAATGAACCCTAGTAAATTGTACCTTTACCTAACATTTATGGCATCACTGGCTGAGTTTTGGCATCGGGTATATTTCCCAATGTAGAAACTGAAAATTAATCCTATTAAATTGTACCTTTACTTAACATTTGTGACGTCACTGGCGCAGTTGGCATGAGGTATACTTTCAAATTCAGGTTTCAAGGCATTTTAAAACATAAACCCAATCTCAACGAACTTAGAAACTCTTCTGTCACTTAGATACAAAACGCTTCGTACTGTAAGGCCAAAATATATTTAGAAATCAATAGTCATATTAACAAAAAAAAAATCATTATAAGTGAGATAGATAACTACCAAATTAATGATATACAAGTTTATTCTTATTATCTACAAAATAGGTTTGCAATGTGCTGATTTGGAATATTATCATTGTGAGATATTTTAAATGAATGTATCCCATCAATAAATAAAAATGTAGTTATAAACATAATTGTAAAATAAAAATGGATGACATGTCATGTATACGAGTATTAAAAAATGTAAAAAGTCATAACGATAATCAATAAATAGATCCGTGGTAACGGCTGTTGCCATGGAAGTGAGTTTACCTTTCATCCAGCCCCACATAATGAAGGTTTTCGAAAGCTCTAAAGTACGAATGTATGTAGTGCAATCGAGGCACTACAATACTTTCTCCCGTGGCGACCTTGTGATCACCACATAAACTTACCTTTAGTTTTGACTTCCATGTCATTTTTAGTTTAAGACCTAGGTCGATTTTATTGAAGTTAGCCAAGTGTCGTTGTCGGGAAACTGATGTCATAATAACGCCACGCCTTAAGCGCAGATTTTAGTCGATAATCTTGTGCGCCCTATGTCGCCAGAAATCTTGTCAACGGAACGACCTGGGTTGTTAGGCATTAGAAATATTTATATAAAACGTCTGGCATATTTTTATTAACTATCGTCGCGACTAATTGAACTTTTGGATATTTATTTTAAAATTATGTTTACATAATTTAATCAATTCCTTTATTAATTATTGAGAGGATCCTAGATATATGGAACCTACATTCATCGACAAAAAACTTTAAATCTTTGTATTAAATTGATCAAGAACAATCCATAAATTGGTTTAGACTATATAGAATGTTTCTAGTAAGCATCTACTTACTTTTATTATGGAACCGAAACACCCTTTTAAAAGGGTTCAAAATTAAAAATGTACCAAGTAAATGTAGTAGTATTTTTTAATTTTGAATCTTAAGAGATGCAGACCATTGGATAATTTATATTGAAAATGATAACATGAAAGGTTTTCTGTCTAATTGTAAGTAACGACTCAGTCTCGGCTGACAAAATGTAAAAAAATATCGAACCTAATATTCCAGGGCGAAACGCAACTGCCTCCTCTTTTGCACTCCCCAGATTAAATTAACTTGTAGCAAATGATACTAAATAAGATATCATATCACAAGTAAAATCTCGTGACTATAGCACTAATGATTGCCGAAAATTAACTAATTCATATCTTAATAAGGACTTTCAGAACCATATTTACCTTACTTGAATTTTTTTCATCGTATTTTATATAGAATCATTTCTAAAAATGTATGACTTCCAACCTGAAACATCGTGTGAACTATTTGTTCGATCAATAAAGAACTTGCACCGGTCCTGTCCTAGCCAGTACCGTTATGCGCATGAGCTCCGACACACTATTTTCTCCTTATGGTTTCATTTTTGATATATGTAATTGGCTTTCTATACTATTTCTATGCTTATTACGGGATTTCTTCGCATTTGATTATTTATTCTTCCTAGACCTACACGAGGGCCCGCTCACTCAACGAGAGCCCACAGGTAATTAAATTTGACCTAAATAAATAAATAAATTGTACATTGATTAATAGATCAGATCCCTGTTGAATTAACTACTTTATTTTATACATTTATCTTTTTGATTTAAAATCAATTATTCATACAAATTGTTTAAACCAGAAATCCTTGTATTTGATTTGATTTATATGAAATGCATTTTGATGGTATTTGAATGTCATAATTTTTCATCAAATGATTTATATCTAGAATTTCATACACAAATTAATAACCAATATGTTTCTGGTTTACCAAAATACTAATAAATTCCGATTAATTAATCAATGAGTTACAATAGAATTGGAAGAAGACGAAATCGCATTTTTTGTATGGAATAATTGATGCAGCATTTAGAAAAACAATCTGTTTAATTAAAAATATCTTTCTCAAACATTTTTATCTACTACCTGCAATAGTTAACATTCATTTTCACTCTCACAAGTCCTACAAAGTGCAGTAATATTAATTTTTATCGTTTACCGTCCACAAATTTAAAATAATATAATAAAAATAAATTATATACTCTCTAAATACCACATAAACGATAAAATGCAAAAAAATTACCATTAAAAACCAAATTGCAACTTTTTATACTTCAACTAGCTACGCCACTGGTTTTTACAACCAAACATTCTGAAATACAAAAACCTGAGCACTGATTAAAACGCCTAAGCGTTAAGCAAATTACTGACTTTTTCCAAACGGAGAAAATTCATCACTCGATTTATTCTACTTTATACTTTGCTATGTTATGTTAGGTATGGGGTATGATACAACTCAAGATTCACATCATAAATATGGTTTAAAAACAATCCTACATAAAAAATGATGAAGGTAACATAGAAGTCTTTTTAAAATTAAAAAAAAATGATTATTGGTTTGTTAACCGTCGCATTTAAGGTATTAATTGAAAAGATATTAATTTGGTGTTTGTGTCACTTTTGAAGCAAGGGTGCGATTTATTCAATGTATATTAGAACCAATTTTTTTTAATACTCTACTAATTGAGGGAGAGGCTAGGAGAACTCCAGAATTATCTCCCACACTAAAAATTTGACAATCCAATGCATGTTGCTTGAAATGTTTAAAATTTTGTTCCAGGGAAAGCGGTGGAAACCTATTAGATAATCTTCTCGCCCACATGGAGCAATACGCGAACAATTTGGAAACCCTTGTGGAGGAGCGTACCAACGATTATTTAGAAGAGAAGAAGAAATGCGAACAAGTTTTGTACCAGTTGCTGCCGAAAAGCGTGGCCGAGCAATTGATTAGAGGCGAGCCGGTCAATGCAGAGACATTCGATTCTGTCACGATTTATTTCAGCGACATTGTCGGATTTACAGAACTGTCTGCTCAAAGCACGCCACTGGAAGTCGTCGATCTGCTCAATGATTTATATACGTGCTTCGATTCCATCGTTGGTGGATTTGATGTCTATAAGGTAAGTTTTTTACTAATTTATCTGGAATCAGTTTGAAAGTGGCGTCCGTTTAACTTCAATTTCTTTCTCTTGATGACTTTTCTCGATATGTTATACAGGATGTCTCATTAAGAATGGGACATAGAACAACTGAAGATTCTCTGATTAAAAATAAGACGATTAAACGAAATATGCTTCGATAAAATATTACTCATTTCAGAAATATGTTAAAATTGAAAATTCGAAAATTATTAATGGCTATGCTTAATTTTTTTATTATTCAGTATAATTTAACTTAATCGGCAAACTTTTTTAGTGTCATAAGATACATCTTTCACCAAAAAAATATCAGTTAAGTAAACTTTTTCAGTAGCGTAAGGCATGGGTAAGTAACATTTTAATCACTTCTTAATTTTACGCTACTGTTCAAGAAAGAACTTGGACTATAATTTTAAATTTTTTGTTGTTTCGATTTACAAATCATATTTAGTAACTTGTTTAGTTATTTTTTGTACATTTTGTTTTTTAATTACCCAACAAAAAATAATCCAGAGGCGTTAGGTATGGGCTTCTTGCAAAGAAAAATAAGAAATAAATAGTGATTTACTGTTATTTCCAGAAAAATCGAAAGTAATGACGTCACAGAATAATTGAATCCGTTATAAGAAAGTTTTTGCTCCAAGGTCTCAAAAAAAAAATCCTCTTAATATCTCAAATAATAACTAGGATAAGAATGTGGATAGAATTTTTAAGAAGTTAACCAATGCCAAAAATACTCAGATGCACCACTGATTTGAGTTATTTTCAAGTTCTTACTCCAAACTTTTAAACGAAAAAAATCATTCAGATATCTCATTTAATAACGAATATAAAATGATGTGGAACTTTTAAGTAGCCCACCCTGTACCGGTTGGCCCTGGTTTTTTAAAAATAGGATAGGTTAATTTTTAAGAAAATTCCTTTTAGTCCAATTAAATAACGAAAAAAGCCCCTTCGAGCTTACATTAATTTGTAATTGGATGAAACAAAGTGGACCTTATGTATTTTCATATGATCTTTTCGAAAAAAAGCAAAAAAAGATGTAGCTGTTGTTCAATTTTTTTTTTAATTAGGAAAAACCGGGTTTTCCGGAATTTTCCATGGTAAAAATGCTAATTATCTGGGCAAGTATCATTCCGATAGTAAAAATAAATGCACCAATCAAAAAAGGAGGCAAACATAGTTCGGAAATTCATTGCACAGGTAGTTTTAATGATGAATTTCTCGCTGCCAGAAGTGCTTTTACCAAAAAGTTGTTTTTTCGTTTCTTTGATCAGAACCATGAACATGAAATTTGCGATGAATTTTTGGCGAAATTATAAATGTTAGACATATGTGCCCATGAGAGAAGTTGCGTATTTTTTTGTTGGCTCTCAAATAAAATAAGTCCCGCAGCGAAATCTGCCATAATTTTTCGGGAATTCGCAGGAAATCGGAAGGCGTAATTTTTTTTAATTTTTTTTCCCATTTGATTTTCTCCGGGTTTTCCGAAAACATCTAACAAAAAAATATATTTGAAAAAACTAACTTGGCCATTGGAAAGAGCACAAAAAAAAATACACAAAAAGGTATACTTTAAAAATGTAAGGAAATTAATCCTAAGCCTGAGTGTAAGTTCTAACTTAGTGATAAGCTTGTTTTTTGTACTCTAACATCTTATTTTTAGTTATTGCAAAACAATTTTTTCTTGATTTCTTGTACTTTTTTCTAAAATAACTCGAAAATTAATTATCTGAATAGAAAACTGTTTCCATCAGATGAAAGAGAAAAAAAGACACGAAAAACTGTGGCATATGCATTTTTTTTTAGAATTCACTGTTTTCTGAGCGCACGTGTGCACGCGAGAATTGAAGCTACTCGAATATTCTCGAGAAAAGGGGCATTTTCTGACAATTGGGAGAGAAAGTAAGCTTGTTTCTCATTAAACTTACTGATTCTTATATATTTTCAGTCTGTTAAGTGCCTAAATTACGGAAAAAATCGACAGTGTGCTTGTTTTTTTCTCGAAAAAAAAAAAAAAAAAAGGGAAAATGTTGGATTTAAGAGAAAACCACTCGTTTTACGAGCAATTTTCGAAGCACAAAAAATGCATAGTTTTCAATTATATTTCGAATGTCATAGGTCGAATAACAAATTCAATTTTTCGACCTTCGCCGCCTCAAAATACTAAACCAATTTCAATCGTCCATACCGCGAGAACAGTGTATCGGATCAAAATTTCTCAAGAGACAAGAAAATTAGCATTGTTCCTAAGCTTTCAAATGTCGTTAACTGCGTTTTGAAAATATTGATTTATTTCCGACATGCGCCTGAGCAAAATTGAAAAATGGACAAAATCCAAAATTTCGACACTTTCGAAAAACAGCTACATTTTCTTTTGCTTTTTTGTGAAAAGATCACCTCAAAATACATAGAATCAATTTTGTTTCATCTAATTACAATTTAATGTAAGCTCAAAACCCGTAATTTAATTCGATTATTTCTACGATTTTCTAAATAATTTGCAGGTTCTTCTCGTTTTTATCAAGCCATTATTGTGCCACATAGTACATTTTGTTCCAAAACAGTCAGTTTGATTGGTAAGAATTAATGAAACCTCCGCAAATATATTTTTTGGTCCTTCAACTAACTGTTCTAAAGTTCTCTTTGGAAGCCCTTCCTTTCTGTCAACAGGGACCGGGTGTCAGAAAACTTTTCAACCAAATTAAGTGATGATAAATTAATTTTCGAAAATTACCAACTAGGTAGATTTATGTACAGCGTGTCCAATGACTTATGTTTTAATCTCCTTAAATTGGTAACAGCGTCTCGATCATAGGTCCGTAATATTTTATAATATGATCTACTCCAAAGTTCGGTTTGGTGACCATTTATTTTCACCCTGTTAGTAAATGGTATTGTTTTAAATATGCAATTTTTTACTCGTTTTGGCCTTTGATCTAAAGTTGTTATTTGAAATTCAAATATATCTACGATCTTTCAAGCCTGTACTGGATTCAAACCGATAGGGAGAAAAATTTCCGTTTTGACTAAATTTCGTCGTCGAACGCATCAGAGAATTACTCCACATCCTCAAATCACACATCAAACTACGACCGTCAGACCTTTCGCTATAAATCCATATTGATTGTAAAAATATAGTGAAGACATAAAATAAATAAAACTTCTATCGAAAAAAGTTTCGAATATTTCACAGCAGCGTATTAAAACTAGGTCATTTGTCACGTCGTGTTATCAAGATTTTGAATTTTGATTCTGGTATTACAATGTTACTTTATATGAAGACGCAATTAATATTTTTTTTTTAAATTCAATTAAGTATACAGAACGAACTGAAATCACTTATATTTTATCATGAAAAATGACGGAATGCTGAATTCTGGCTAACGTTCTCTTAAACAGAGGTAGCGTCATTATTCTTTTGAAACAAACAAGTCTAATCTGTATCATGAATATAATTTTATTTTAGTTACACCGTCGCTCAATTTACAAAAACACAGACGCTTTTAGTGTTATGCCACAATAATTTTTTTGGCTATGGCCCCAGCCCCCATAGCCCCCTCCCCTGGAGCCACCCTTGCTGTGAGGTAACAATAGCGCGCTCCGTCCCGGGCAGGTATTTTCTGATGCGCTGAGTCATGTATGAGGCGCGGTTACTCAAATCGCTGTATTTTCGTTAGTTTTGCTCCGATTCACCTCAAATTTTCACACAATATTCTTGAAAGGTTTTCCATGCACAAAATCAAATATAAAAAAATGCAAAAAAAAAAGTTTAAAAACTTTACTCCTCCTTAACACATTCAATAATGATGTATCATATCTGGTTGACCCCAGATAATCCATATTGATTATAAACCACTGTAGTAGAATGCAATGATTTAATCCTTTAATACGAGCTTTAATACTTGTATGAAATAGGATATTTTTTAACCACACTGGTAAGGAACACTGTACTTTTTCTGATTATAACACCCTACACCTCAATTTTAATTAGTTTTTTAATTAAAAAAATTAAATTGATAGATCTCTTCTAGATAATTATTTGAAATTTCATGGCCCAAATGATTTGATTAAAAAAGAGGGTGTTAGCTTAAGATCACACGTCAGAAGTGAAAACTTATTGGAAATTGGTAATTCTACGTAATATATAATAATGAAAATAAAATTATTTTATTATTATTACGGATATTGGTTGGACGAATCGGAAATAGAAATAGATTAATATTATAAAATACAATTATCATTAATTTACACATACAATTATAATTATTATACAAGTAAATTCTGATCGGATTGTTTATTTTTACAATTAATTTATAAGTTTTGCAACAATAAAAAAAATTTAAATCACCCTGTAAACCTGACTAACAAATATTAATCTCAATTAAAATAATTCGGATCTCAATAAAGGAATGAAAAATGTTACCTCCAAATTTCAAACACGCACTTGATGTGGGGTGTGTCCACTCAAACGTTTGATGGGTTTACAAATTAATTTTGATACTACAATATTAATTTTTATAAAGTAAGTTTTCCAAGATCTTTTTTTCTGCTGCACTCGCCGTCCTTCTCCGGTATTTTTCTCCTAATTTTTCTTTCTTATATACCCACTTATTTTGTTTGTATATTTATAACTGCTTCTATATTGAAATATGCTTCCACTTCTGAATTATTCTTCACTTTCATCAATGAAATGTACCTTAGTTTCCATTTAAATTCTTTATTAGCTTCTCCAAAATATATAATTTCTCAACATTCAATATAACATCTCTATATCTCTAACAAAACCTTTTATTTCTCCAAAACCAAAAAAATAATATTAACTACCGTCTAACATCTTATAAAAATTTCCAAATTTTGAAAACCAAAAATATGTAGAATAATTTTTAGTGTTTCGTAAGAATAATTTTGAAATATTAGTTTGGAGATTTACAAAAATACTATTTAAATAAGGACCTATTAACCAAGAAAGTATAGTTTTG